AAAAAAAAAGAGAGAGAGAGACTCATGTTTTAATAAATTAGGATCATGTGGTATGTGGGGGGTGCTGGTTTTACTTCCCAGGGTGCCTGGGAGGTGGGAGCAGTGAAGGAAGGTACATTTGGGGGATCTACTGCTCCTGCCCCAGGAAGGAAGCCCCAGCTCAGGGGGACTGAGTCTGATCCCCTGCCTTGTTCCTCCCTCCACCTCCCTTAGGTCCCACTCCTGGACCTATCCATGCCCTGTGATTTGACTACCCGGCATGTACTCTGCAGACTGTTTGCATGGGGTTGCACCCCTGGCAGGTGGGAAGTTCACGCCCCCGAGGGCAGGAGGGGGAGTGCCAGAACTTCCACCTGGGCAGTAGAGTTCAGGGGATAGAAAGTTTTTTCAGACAGACAGGAGGGTTGGGGAGAGGACTCGGCATCCTGGGATGCTGGGGACTGCAATTTAGATGGCTCATTTATGGGGCGTGGCCACACATTAATGGAACACCAGCTGGGTAACAGATCAGAGACAAAACTGCCCTGGAGTGGTGTAACTTTAAGTTGCCTAAAATGTGCTTAAAACTAGTTTCAGGTGTTAATGTGTGGGCAGTCTAGGGGTTAAGAACTCCAGGAGCTACCTAAAATGAATGCGTAATAAGTCCCTTTGATTACTGGGTGCAGTATAGGATAGTCTAATGTTATGCAAATTCCTTTAGCCTTTAAGAAGATACAAACAAAACTTCAGTTCCCATAACTGTGGAAGATTTTGAAGTCCAGTAGGGACTCACCATAAGATATTTCAACAATTTGTACTTATTTCATTGTATTCAGTATGTTGCCCTATGTCTTTACAAAAATTAAGTTTATGCTTTGAAAATATGTGGATGAAGCCCTGGGTTTTTCCTGCACTGTTAATGAAATCAGCATTCTTTATCTGGTATATTAAGGCTACCTTGTTCAAGGCTTAAGTTAAGTGATCTACAGTACAGTTTAGATGACAGCTTTTAAAGCTGTGGCATAGCTGCAAAACCTGCTTTTCTTTCTTTTCTATCTTAGCATTCAGTTTGCATTACCTGCTTCTGAAGCTACCAAAGTACTTTTGCTTTCCTATAATTGCTTCATACATATATCAGAAACAGGCTTCCACAGCAATGTTCTAAACAGAAAGATTTTTCACTCATAATTTTCTGAAGTAATGATTGATTTGTATGGATTGATCTTTATGGGAAAAAATTCTCTATTTTATCACCAGTATCTGCTTAACTTTGTGCTTCAGGTGCTTAGGGGGTCTCATGAGAAAAACCTTCTTACCGGCTCTCAGGTTCTCAGATTGAAAAATGTGTGTCAGGTACAATATTGACTTTACATCTGATATTGTCTCATGGAATTAAAAATCATCATGGAATGTGATTATAAGCTAATGCCTTAAATATACCTATTTTGAAATCAGCCATGTTGTTTGGTAAGAATGGGAAATTGCTCAAATTCCATGACATGGTCCTCATGTTATCCTTCTAATTCCCTCTGCCAGGCATCATAGGAGATGGGCCTATGTTCTGTGACAGACAAATTCTGGCAACCTAATCATATTAAAATAATTCTTCATATTCAGGGTTGCCGCATAAGACCACCTCTGCTCTTACCCTTTTTCTACTGCAGTAGAATTAAAGACTTTCATTACATCCCACCAGGCCCACTAGAAAGAAAAGTAATTGAGATCAATAATACATCAAATTAAATGTTAATTCATGCAGATAGTGCGCTAATATTAACTAAGAGTTATATGCACACCTGCAGAGTGAGCCACATGGAAAACTTGCTATTTCTAAGCAAAGCTCAATAGCACGTAGAGAGCTGAGGAAAGCAGTATTATCTCTCCAGCACTTTCTCTGTGAAAAACCTTGTACACATTTCTTACGGTTGGCTTTCTGTGGCTTTCATAGAGGAAATATTGCTGCCAATTGGAGAACGAGGCAAGAGAGGTTTGTCTTTTTGCCCTCAGGAAAGCCACTGGCATTTTCTAGCAAGTTGATTTTGGGAATGTTACAAAAGGCAGTGATTTATTAGGGTGATATCTTTTATTGGACCAACTATGTAGTTGGGATAAAGATAGACATTCATTGTCAGGTTGGCAGTAGCATACAAAAACTTCAGCTCTAAAACTTCAGCTCTCTTGATTGGGATGTGCATGATGGCAAACGGAAGAGATGTGCTGCTAAATGGGACAAAATGGAAGAGAAGAGACTTGGGGAGTAGTGAATAGAGAAGTGTGGGCTCAAGCAATGTCAGCACTTCTACATGAAAATGAGATATTTGCATATTAAAAAGCACAGATCCTTCTCTTGGACTGTGCTTTGGACCTGGAGAAGCTTCGGACGCTTCAGCATCCGAAGCAGCATGTCCAGATTGAAGCACTGGCTTTATTAGGCTTTTTGAAGTGGTTCGGAGCTTCTGAACCACTTCGGAAAATCTCTGGAGCCGCTTTGGAGATCTGGCCATAGGGTGTAATGGGGAATCAATGAAATATGTATAACTTTGTTGTTTTTTGTTTGATTTGGATGAAACTTGCAGGGGTGGTAGCCTCTGCTGAGAGCATGAAGCCTGCCACATTTCAAGAAGATCAGTGAAGATACAGTGTGAGGGGAACTGTACTCCAAATTCCTGAAAGCAAAATTCATGTCATGTATATGTTACACCACAGCGGGGTGAAAACTGCGGGGGTGGTAGCCCCTGATGAGGCCACAAAGCCTGCTAAATTTCAAGAAGGTAGGTGCAGGGGTTTGGGGGGAACTGCACCTCAAGCTGCAGACAAGCAAAACTCGTGACATGGGTGACACTGTGTGTTAAGGTGCAGCAGGGTGAAAGCTGCAGAGATGGTAGCCTCTGCTTATGTCCTTGAAACTTGGCAGGCTTTGTGGCCTCAGCAGGGGCCACCACCCCTGCAGTTTTCAGCTCGCTGCACCTTAACACACACAGGGTCATCTATGTCATGAGTTTTGCCTGTCAGCAGCTTGAGGTGCAATTCCCCCCAAACCCCTGCACCTATCACCTTGAAACTTGGCAGGCTTTGTGGCCTCACCAGGGGCTACTGTCCCTGCAGTGTTGACCCCCCTGTGGCTTAACCCATAGATGTGACATGAGTTTTGCTTTCAAGAATTTGAGGTACAGTTCCCCCAAAATCCCTGCTTTGGAACCACTTCAGACAGATCGAAGTGGGAACCTGACCCGGAGCTCCGGACCGGAACCCTGGCATCTGAAGCGGCCAGATCCTAAGCTGGATCGTATAGCTACCTACTTGCACAGACCTACTGCTTTCACCTTTTTCATCAGTTTAAAGGAACCGGAGAGGTTATGAAGACATCTCACTGATGTAATCCTGACACTGGCACCCTTTATAGGCTTGGCCAAGTGAATTTTTTTTTTCTATTTTATTCTTATTTTACGGAAGGGCATAATTAATTCTCCCAGACCTGCTTCTCCAGGCTGCTGCAAGGATTAAGAATGTGTATTAAGGTAAAAATTTCAAGGGGATGGGGCTTAGGAACTTATCTTATATTGGTGCTTTTGAAAAGCTTATCTGTAAAGCCTGTGAATTACCACGAAGAAGAAAAGTGCTCTGTAACCACCAGACACATCACCTTTGGCTGCCTCTACTTGGGGATTCCTTTCCATTCATGTTGGTATAGAATTAGCCATGACTGCTAAAAGAATACCTATTTCTAACTGGACACATTATTATTTCCAATCCCATTGGACCCTGAGTTTGTTGCAGTGATCAATGCATTTGTGATCTCCAGGTTTTTAGTACCGCTCATAATGTCTAGGAATGTAGGCATGAGCTGTCTAATAAACTGTCTCTTGGTCCAGGAGCTTCCATGACAGCTGTGCTCCCTGAGACAGTGAAAAATACCGACCGATGGGGGAAGGCTCTGTAATATGGGAGGCAAAGTTCTTGCAAGCTTCACTTCTCTCAAGAGATGAGAATAACCATGGGCCTTCGTGTTTTAAAACTAAATACAGAATGCTTGTATGTGATTTGCCTTTCCCTCAGTAAATGTTGCATCTGCACATGTATATGGAAAAAAAAAACTGTAGAATTTTAATCAAGCTATTTCTTTTAAGGGCTGGGAAGGAAGTAAGATATAATTTATGTTTTTGAATACTCGGGAGGTACTATGGAGATGATGTAAATACTGAGAAATACTGGGAGCATCTACACAAGACATTTATGGCAGAGCTGCCTAATTATCTCTGTAGTAAGTGTCTCGGCATCTACACATGCGACCCTGTTAAGCCACAGGGAACTAATCAACTCCGCCACAGGTTAGTACTTGTAAATGTAAGCACTGTCTTTCAGTGTAGTTCATTAGTGTGCAGCAAGGCATGTGTAGATGCTGATGGGGCTGGCTGGGGCAGAAGGGTGTTTCAGTGCAGGGGCTGTCTGCTGGCTAGCCCCACACTGGAGCACTCTTGTGCACCAGCCAGCTCCTCCACAGACAGTTGAGCTGGGTTTGGAGGGAGCAGCCCTGGGCCCCCCACCTGGGGCCCCTACCATTTGGGGCTACTCCGACCCGGTTCAATGTGCTGTGGTCCCAGGCGCACATTAAAATGTGGTGCCCAGCGTGGTATATGCTGGAATTTATTGCTCCATGCTAATTGCATGTGTAGATGCACCCACAGTGTAGTATATTGTTACAAGTGCTAGCTTTCAGCCTGAGTCTGCTACACTTGCTTGACATCATACCATAAGAATAGCTCCACTGGAGTAAGAACAGTGGGGGACAAAAAATGGTCCTTTTTTCTCAGTTGGCTATATACTTTTTGCTTAAGATGCATTAAAAAAGAACTAATAGTAATAACTGTGTTTGACTATTAAGAGTAAGCCAGTTTCCAGGTTAGGAATATGAGCTGAATGATCATACAAACAGGATGTATGAGAAGAAATGTTAAAAAGAAAAAATGGGAAATCTTGTCTTCAAAGGAAATTGGTTATACAAAGTGTCTTTTCATTTCTAGCACAAGAAGAGTGGACCATTCCAATACAAGACTGGCAATCCAGATTGAAAAGGACCCAGGTATGGCATGGGGTGTTTTTCTATATATTTTTCTAAAATGTGATTTATTTATTTTATCATGGCTGTGTTTTGGGAAAGTGTAAAGCAGATGCAAAGTGCTTAATCACTATGTGAATAAAGCTGATCATTTAAAATGTAATAGAGATTAAAAACTGCAAAGATCCTGATTAAGTCATGTGGTTTGGTATGTAAATACATTCTTTATTTTTTGGGGGTTGATTACATAGCTGCTGAGTTGCAAATCACTTATTCAGTCATAGAGTCTCTGTGTGCCCATGTATATAGCAAATAGCAGACAGAGTAGGTCAACTTGAAGGTCAGCTGTTGGTCAACTAACGATCTGGAAGAGTCGGTGTAAATACCCCCTTTCCACTAAGTATGACGATGAGCATTCCTTTCTAATTCTGTTGATGACCCTTGTGGAGAGTGTGTCATCCTGGGGTGAGTAGAAATTTTGCAAGAAAAGAGACACAGGAAAGCAAAGGGATAAAGTGCACCTTGTGATGCTATATTACTTAACAGTGTATTAAAGGTAGCTTTGATTAATGTTAATATACAGCAGAGGTCTAGATGGTTCTGAACATTTCCTGAAAGAAAGGAAATGCTCTAAGTCAGGGAGCATGAAAGGCATCTTGCAAAAAGTGCTAGCATTTGGCAGGATCACATCCTTACAGAAGAAGCTGATGTAAACATTTTAGGTAAAATCCTGATCCCATTCCAGTCAATACCAAGGCTTCTACTAAGTACAGCCAGTATATTATTGGTTAATTTTAATTTCTACTTTAAAAAAAAATTGTAAAATGTAACAAAATTGAGAGGGAAGTATGGGAGAGGGGGGAATGAAGCTACAAAACTGAATAATCTATCTTCCTTTACACAAAGGATAAACTTGCTTTCTGGGTGGTAGGAACAAAAGCTACTTTTAGTATATTAAAGTGAACAAATGTGTCTTTAGATAATGGGAGAGCGAGGCATCTTAATGATCCACATTCGTTATTTTCCATTTCAAGGCATGAAATAAAAACATTTTGCTAGCATTGCTGTCAAGTGACAATAGCCTTTTATTATAATGTTGTATAATAATATTGTTAAACCCAATGTTCAGGCAAAACATTTGCTTTTTCTAGTGTGGTTTAAATCTTAGTTTTCTGACTAGTTTAGATCTTCATCAAAATAGGCCAGTGGGAATATAACTCAGTGTGGGGTATAATGACCCAAATACAAAGGCAACCCATTTAATATGAACATGACCCAAGGAGCTTGAGTGGCCTTTACAGAGTATTGGGGTGAGCTGCTGATGCATAGCAGAAGATAAATGCACTTGCCAAACAAAACATGCTCATTAAATAAGGGAATTCAAGCACACTGACACTGTATTAAGCCAAGACACACAGTTTTGGAAAGTGTGAAGATTTTAGTTCATTTCAGTAATCATAATGAAGTGCTAATTTTTAATCCAGTTTCAAAATGCACTCACATATGAGTTTTTAGATTCTGATTGGGATGTTCCTTCTCCCAGCACTTCTAAGGCCTAATTGGCGTTAGAGATGCTTATTGGTACAGCTGATTTTTACAATTAATAATAACAATTCCAATGAAGATTGAACCTTTACACTTTTTCCCTCAATATGCTAAATTTGTGTTTTTAAAAAAATGTTTTTACAGGTAATTTGATGATGTCATGGTCTTAGTTATCCAACATCATTGGCAGGGATGGAGACTTTCTAAAGTTACTTAGAAGTTTAGCCCCACAGCTCCAGTTGAAAATAATAGGAGACAAAATCCCTTTGTTGGCTATGAAAGTATATTTTTTCAGCTATTAAATGGCGTGTTTGGATAGTAATGGCCTAGGGAGGCGTGCGATTCTTTAAAATTCATGTTAGTAAGCAAAAATGAAACTATCTTAACGTAGTAGAGAGCCCTCAAACTAATTACTCCAGGGCTTCCAGAAAATTTCTGATATTATTAAACAGGGGAGAGGAGATGTAGTGGTCCAGATTTGATCTGCACATCATCTCACATCCAGTCTTCTACTTTCAGCATTGTTTTTTTTTAAATAAGGATCACACACCTAATTCTATATAAAGTAGCTAGGAGCTAGAGGTGCAGTAGGACTTTCAAGGAGATGCTGTCACCTCCCAGGAATAGGCTGTATTATAATAACTAGCAAGGAAGTAGGATCAGATTAAAAATGGTTTGATATATATAATATATTTATCCAGAGTCATAGCATGCTCATTGAGTGCCTGAGATGGGACGGGGGAGCAGGAGAGGTCTTGGAGTATGTCAACCACTGTAAATTTGCGGCAGTGGGGGGTGAGGGGAAGGGAACCCCTTCCTGGGCTGCTGCTGCTGTTGCAGCACCAGTTCCTCTGGCAACAATAGCCCCACAGCCGGGCTCCCTGGGACCCAACTCTAGTGCCCAGTTTGCTCTCCCAAGTCCCAACACATACATATTGGCAAAGGCTTTCCTGGGGCGGGGTGGGGGGGAGGGGTACGCCATTCCACTCCCTTCACTCACTCCCTGTCCTCCAGTTACACAGCTTAGTGAAGTACTGCCCTGCCTGAATCCTATGCCTCCACTGTAGCAAAAACTCCCAGGGGGTGATTCTGGTGCCCCTTCAAACTCAGCCTCCAAGGCCCATGCCCACTTCTTACCATCCAAGTTACGGTACTGAGTTTACCTATAATAATGTTTGTTGCTGTGCTTATAGGAAGCGATGACAATAATCTCAACTCCATTTTTTATGAGCATCTGACCAGATCTCTGCAGGAGTCTCTTTGTGGAGATTTGATTCTTGGCCGCTGGGGAAACTACAGCACAGGAGACTGTTTTATTTTGACATCAGATTATTTAAATGCCTTCATTCACTTGATCGAAATTGGAAATGGCCTTGTTACTTTCCAGCTCAGAGGACTTGAATTTCGAGGTAAGGAACTACGTACCTGGAGGAGTAGAAGACAAGCACAAACAAATTAGTTGCCAGGCTTTCTTCACATACTGAAACTCCATAGCCTGCTTATGGTACAGTAGACTGTTGAAAGGGCATATCTGGCTATAATGGCAGCCCAAAGCATTGGGAAATTGAGTTAAGTCCCTCGACACTATATGATTTGAAAACAATACAGGAATGTTGTGTTCTTTTTATTTGTTCCTTGTTTCTGAGCCTTTTGGGTATGCTTGCATTATGTTCTTGCACCCTCAGCCATGACAGATGCGATTCTTACAAAACTGCATGACTTTAGGAAGTGGAGCCTGAGAAACAGTCACAAGATTGCCGTCAGATCATCCCAGTTAGCATGAACATGAAGATGAACACCTGTCTGGTATTGATATGGTTAAGTGTTGGCATTAGACTGCTGCTGGCTACAGTGACAGCATAGTTTGTCCTTTGAACTGGTGCTGAAAGCTGCCCAGAATGGCTGGGGTCCACTCTACTTCCTACTGGGCAGGAAGAGAAGGAGGGAGTGAGGAGCCGATTCCTAGGTTGGGGCATCATACATCCCAGGCTTAGGAAATACAGTTGCTGAGACAGTTGTTGGCAGCAGAGGGAAGGTGGCCCCACTTTGTCTCTTGCTGGGAGAAGGACTGTTCCTCACTGTGAGTGCTTCTAACTGGCAACAGGGTGAGTTATGGCATTTGTGGTTCCATGTTCATTTTTGTGGTCACTCCTGTCCTGTGTGTGTTGCTGCTAGGAAGAGAAGGAAAAGATAAAGGAAACTGCAGAGCTTATCAGCCAGCTTTTAAACTCTCTCCATGTTCTTTATACTAGGTGAAGTCGTCTAATTATTTATTTATGAAACATACAAGTGTTCTGGTAGTTTCTCAGATGTAGAAAGAGTATCTCCCTGCCCCAGAGAGCTTAGGATCTAACTAGGTAACATACAAAGGAGTGGGTGAAGAAGGTATACATTGATGATGTGGCAAAAATATTCAAAGCAGGCTCTGGGTTCTCTGGGTGGTGCAGTGGAGAAGTGGGGATAGGTGTCCTTGTAGGTAAGGTGTTAGGTTGGGAAACAAAAATATAGGTCCAGTCCTTGACTCTGTCATGGATTGCCCATGTGATCTTGAGTAAGCTCTGTAATGTAGCTGGAGGGTGAGCATGGGGTTGTGAAGAAAAAATCATTTATGTTTGTGAGGCCCTTGGACCCTGTGGTAATGGGGCCACAGAGAGCACAGACAGACAGATTGTAAAAAGAGGTTACATGAAGGAAAAGTAAAGAAGAGAAAGTATTCACTTATATGCCCTATAAACTCTTATTAACAATGACAGATAGCTCTATTGCTTTCTTCATCTTCAGAGACATCTGTACAGACATTAACTTCTCCTCATGTCACCCTAAGGTAAGTGATAGCATCCTTATTTTGAAGGTAGGCAAAATGAAGGGAGAGGGGTTAAGCACCTTGTTAAAGGCCACAGAGGGAGTTCATCGAAATTTTCCTGATATGCTGATTCTCTTGTTTCATGCCCAGGCCAGCAAACTATACATCTTTCCTCATTCTTTATGCATGAACATAACAATAAGCCGAGACAGGACATGCATTATTAGGTCACTGGTATAACAGTGTGACAGCTTGAACCAATTAGTTCTGCCTTTAGCAAGGAGTGCTACAGTAGCACTGGCTTCAAAAGGAGATAAAACTTTGTGTTAAATAATTAACTCCTTTGAAGCCAATACTAGGCAGCCTGAATGCCTCTTAGTTGCAGTTTATCCCATTTTGCTGGAAGAAGGAAAAATAAGACACACAATATATAACATGTATTAATCTGAAAAGTTGATTCCTGTAAGAATTGCCCTATCCCTTTCCCTATGCAGAGATTTAAATGTGTTTAAAAAAGGTTTTTAGTTTAAATTCTGTTTGGACTTTTTCTGAGTAGCAGAGCAGAAGTAGCTCTATTATGTGTAGATAAGTCTCTGTTATTTGACATTCTTGTTTGGATTAAAATATCTCATTGAGGAGCCTAAAGTGCCTTTTATAATATTACCACTTTACCTCACTACCACTTGTCTGTCTCCATCTTTCCATTCCCTAGGCAGACAGAAGGCCTAGAAATGACAAACAGCAAAAGTGACAAAATGCCCCCAACCCTGTCCTTGTTGGGAGAGAAGATCAGGGGTATAGCAGGCAAAATTAATTAGCTGGAAGTAGAGCCATGTAAAACCCAGTGGTTTTGTATCAAAGTGGTCCATGTGAACATTGACTTTGTTTTTGATCCAAGTTTGTACATTATCTCCAAGTAACATTTTTTTTCATTTGTATTTGAAAGCAAACTAGTTTTAAATTGCAGAGGCTCACCTGGCACACAGACTGGGCATACACAATTACATTTCATCACTGGAATTGCTAATTTTACATTATTAAAGGGGAGCTGATAGCCCCCAGTATGTGAAGGTTGTCTGCTGGGTTCCCTTGTAAGAGATTACTTTTGATTTCTTTTTTCTCTCCCTTGCTTATGGAAAGCTCTTAGCATCTCCATTGTTTGTACTAGGTTTGTGGAATTCGATAAGGCCAAAACTCCTGGGCCTTTCACTTGTCCCATGAAATCCCACATAGGCTTGGCTGAATTTCAGATTTTTGAAAATCAGGACCACGTTCCTCAGGAGCATGTTAGCAGGCTGCTAAAATAAGTTTGTGCCTGAAAGCTTGCAAAAAACTTTTTTTCAACTATTTAGTTGGTCTAATAAACAGTATTGCATCTACCCAAAGAACCTTGCTAACCTAACATCATCATTCAAATTGCTGGGCCCACATCACTACTGCAGCAGCAGCAGCAGCAGCAGTGGCAGTAACAATAAGCACCTAGAACTGGGAAGGTGTGGGAGATATTGTAATAGTTGTAACACTGGAAGTGGAGCAGTTGAGGTAAGAATTTTCCTTCCTCTCTCTCTCTCCTTCTCACACCTGCACTTACACCAACCTAGACAATATCTCTCCACACCTCAGAACAGTAGCCAATTCCCCCACTTGTGGGTGAAGAAGCTTACCCAAACATTGTGAGGAGGGAGTGAGCCAAACCAGATAACTCCTGACTACTCCTGCAGAACCAGTAAAGGTAGAATTATTTTTCCTAAAATAGTTGTGTGCCTAAATTGAAGCTTTCTAGCCATCGACCTAGGCGTTCTTGTTCCTGGATGTATGCCATGACCACATAAATGTGTGAATGCAAACTGAACATGCACCATAAGGCTATGCACTGGTTAAGCATACGTGTGCATTATCTGAGCCTGAGTCTTGAAAAGATGCGCTTGGTGGTGGGAGGCCTCCATGCTATGGCTTCAGTATGGGAGGTTAGGGTATACACCCAGAAAGTTGGAGACCCAGGTTGAAGATTCCCCTTGTCCAGATGGGGTTTGAACCTTGGTATTTGTGACTTCTCAGCACAGTGTTTAATCACCAGGGATCCTGGTTTTCACTGTTAAAAAATGCAAAATTCTCTGATTAAAACCCCCAAAATGTGCATTTTTCCACAACTAAAATGAAACACACCACTCTCTTCCCCCCTGCTCCATATATATCAGTTAGGTATCAATAAAACATTGTGTTTATCTATCTATAAATAAAACATTGTATTTAACTGATACATACGTGTGTGTGTGTGAGGGTGTGTGTGTGTGTTAAACACAATTTTTTATCGATATATTTACAATTTTAAAGCAATTTGGAAGCCTACCAGTACCTCAATCATTATAATAAAATAAATTCTAAACAACTGCATACTTTGGCTTTTGATTTGAGGGTTTTTATTATGGAAAATCAGAGCTCCCTCTGCCCCTTTCACTCACCAGGATGTGGGTCCAGCTGCAGCTGTCTCCCCCCACCCCCCACTTTGTCATCTGTGCTCCTCCTCCCCATTGACTTACTTTCAGGGAACTGTGGGAGCTGCTTTCTATCCTGCTGCCTGGCTGCATTGCCACATGTATGCATGTGTGTTTGCACATGCACGTGGCCCCTTGCTTCTGTTCACCCTCCTTCCACTCCCCCCAGCCCCAAGCAGCCCCTTGGAGGCTGCAACTATGCCTGCCTGCAAGAGGAAAGCTGCAGTTTCCCAGGTTTTTCTCCTTTAAATAGGAAAATCCATGATTTTTTCCCACAGGAAATGAAAACCCAGATCCCTGCTAATCATATCACAGGTCAGACATTACCTTGCTTCCTGTCTGATGAGCCTTTTGAGGCTGAGCCACTGCCAATTGTTTTTAATAGTTATTGGATAAAATGGATGGAAAGAAGTGCAGAGGGGAAGTCTGTGCCCTAGAAGAACCTAGGACTTGTTCCTTCCAGGTCAGCATCTGCCTCTGAGCCATACGTCATCTACCTTGTCTCCCCATCCCACATATTTCCCTCTTGGCTTCCAAAGAGGACAGCTTCAAAAGGAGCACTGAAGAAGGGGGTCTGGATAATACCAACTTGTGGGATGGTGTTTGGAGCCCTATGATGGAAAGTCTGAGAGAGGCGGGCCCAGAGCCAAGGTCTTTGGCTTCCAGGGCAAAGTACTTTAATTGTTCAACAGTTGTAACCAAAATGTGACTAGTCAGGGCTCTCCTCTTCCAGTCTAACACTCACATGTCCTAAGGCACGTTTTGAGCACGTTCTTTCACAGCATCCAAGTGGGCTTCAGCCCATGAAAGCTTGTGCTATATTTATTTCTCTACTTTGGTTAGCCTGTAAGGTGGAAATCTACCCCACTTTCTGCAAGAAACTCAGCCAACACCCACACAAACACAGGCCACACAGCCATCATTCCTTGCTGCCAGCTAATGTAACTTTTGTTCAGGGCTGAAACCCTGCTGGGAATGCATAATGGGTCTGGTGTTTCAGTTGTACTTATTAGACCTTTTCCTACAATATTCCTTAAAATAACACTAGGGCAAATATAATTTTAAAAATCCACTAATATTAGTTTGTAAAGTCAAAGAATGATTGCATGTG